TTTTTCGGACCCAAGTATGAAAAATCGCGAGAACTTTTTATTCGTCGGTAATAGTTTTCGATAGAACTCTTGAGGGGCTACCCAGAACTCCCAACAGAACTGCTGGGACTGTTAAAAAATTTTCCTTCCTTTTTTTTCTCCTTCGAAAATTTTCAAAGTCCCGAAGGAGAAAAATTTTCTGACAGTTCCGGCAGTTCTGTTGGGAGTTCTGGGTAGCCCCTCAAGGGTTCTAAAGGAAATCCTAATGACAAAATTAAATATTTCCAATACTTTTAGTGTTATCGCTGATTTCGAGATTTCATTTTGTGAAGTTAGCATCCCCAAGTTTCAAATTTAACTTTTTTAGGCTAATTCGCCAGAACTATTTTTAAAATTGATAAGGAACTCTAGAACTCTTCGGGGTGCATTCAGAACTGAAAAAAAAAGATTTTTTGAGACATGAGGTGCCAACTTCACAGAGGTCTCGGCCGAGTCTTTTAGGCTGGTCCCTCGTTCCGTTTCTCCATCAAGAGGATCCTTCAGCCATTTTTTTACCGACACAGTCAAATATAGTTTTTGCGCTTGTAATTCTTTTTATTAGCTTTTATGCGCAAAATAATACCAGGATAAATTGCGGACTAAAAAGGCTAATAGAGAGTAGGTCTACTAGTTACTATGGTCATACTGGCAAAACGGAAGTCAGAGCTGCTAAAAGACAGCTCAATGGAAAAATCAGCCGTGCAACCCAGCAGAAATTACGGGGATTTAATTCTGGTAATCCGTCGAAGAGAGACAACTGAATTTATCGGTCTACAAGGTACTTTGTGCGCGCGGCTTCGCCGCGCGGTTCTACCTTAATTATAATTGATCGTCGGAAAAGTCTGCCGCTTCTCTTAAAATGCTATCGGATCGCCGCGGGCGAGTTCAATCGACTTTTTTCACGGGAACCTGCAGTAATGAGAGTAGACTCCGAGGGGAAGAATATACAAATTGTTGTGCAACTAAATAGAATCCAACATTCCAAAAATTTTAGCGCCATTCAGAATTTTAAATACACAAAGGTCAAAAGATGTACGAACAGAGTCCGAAGCGGGAAATAGAGCCGCTTAAGTGGCGTTGCATCTCATTATTTTCCTTACAATTATTTCAAATGCCATTGAAAGCATGGAGCTATTCTAGTTAAATTAAATGTCTTAAATATTGTAAAAATATCGGTTATAACTCAGCACGGCAATTTTCCACGTTTTTCAACCTTCGTTCCCGTTTCGCAAAAAAAAATACGTCGCCGTTTATTAGAAATGCATTCGAGCCGCAGAATATCCGTCATCCGTCGAATATCTTTCCCTTCGCAAACGAACTTGCAGCGGGGAGAAGTGTCGGGCGAATTTGTTGACCTTTTCAATAGGATAAATACATTCTCCCGTATTTATTGACAGCACAATATGCCCCGCGTGGAACGGCTCGCGGGCTACGGGTGGTAAAGCTTAATTGCATTTAATCTCTCCATACGCGCGATACAAGTCCATCGATAATTACACCGGCCCTTTGATGTGCGCCTGTAATAGTACACAGTCCCTCGCCCACACCCTCGCGTGCGCGCGTTACACGTTTGCACTCGATTTAAACTGTCTTCCGGCCTGCGAGAGGCTCGCCTTCGGACCGGTATATCGGAAAAGCGCATCGGTGCGTGATAATGCGTAATATCTTCGAATGCAGTGTGCCCTTGCGCATATATCGCGGCGACGGGAGACGTGCTCCCGTAATAAAATCCGTGAGCCTCTGCAAGGATACGGCGATCGAAAAATATATTCGCGAAATTGTTTTCCGCAAATCCGCGAGGCGGCTTTGAATAACGTTTTACCGAAAGGCCGGTATTACCCTCGCAATTTCTCAATTTTCAACATTAAACTCCTCGATTGATGAGCTACAAATAAAGTCTCCGCTAAATTAATGCCGACGTGCAATTAAATGAAATGGAATTAAAATTATATCTTTCCTCTCTCCTTTGGGAGATGCATTTTCTCGTTTTAAAAGTTTATTTCAGACCCAGGACGTGGCTTTGTACGAGATAATTACTTTCAAAATAAATTGGTATCCTTCTTGTCAAAAATCCCATCTGTAATGTCTTGTATTCCAATTCTAGTTAACGAGTTTAATGTTTTTTACGGCGTATTCCAAAGAAATTTTTGCTGAATTTATTAGTGAATCGAGTGCGAACTGTTGTATCAAACTGTCGCGAGAGTTTTAGTCGACCGACGCGACGGTCCAATCTCGATTTAATATCGCCGAAATGTCATTACGCGTTGCGTCATTGCGTGTTGGTGTACAGTGATGGACAGAATGGTTGCGACACTTTTTTTAAGGTGCGTTCCAAAATTTTCTTCTCTAAAGAATATTTTACTTGATGGCCATTCCGAAACCGTTTTGAAGATTTTTGATCTATTTCTCAAGTAAAATTTTTCTTAAAGAAAATGTTCTGGAACGTAAATCTGAATTTAAATGCGTGTTTCAAAACTCACTAAAAAAAAGTGTCGCAATCCAAACAACGTATGTCTAAAATATATCTTTAAGATGTCTTTAAGTCATAAAGGGTGGCATCTCACAGATGTCTATTAGACATGCGTGCTGTATGGAAACTACTTTGTCCATCACTGTACTTACGTCGGGGGATCTAATTTCGAACGGAATGTTTCGCGAGGTGAATGGAAATGCCAGCGGATCCTTCTCAATGGCATAATGTTCTTAGGCGGATTTAAATGAGCTGACACGTGCAGACACGTGCTACGAAAAATGGATGGCTTATTACAAGCCTGGCTGCGCTAATGGAGAAACATTCGTCGCTCGCGTCTAACGAAGAATTAATTTGATGAGTAGAATTGCGGCTGCCGAATTGCTTTATTCCGCACGACTTGGCGTCAGTTTAAAATAATAAATTTCACCACTCGACTCTTTGC